GCCTCCAGTCAGGCCTTGGGGCGGGCGTTTAACATACGCACGCGCAGGCATACGTTTGTGCATACGGTGTGTAAGTACACGTATGTATGTGTGCACAGGCGCGATTTAAATACATCAGTAGAGTTTTAAAGAGCCCCCGCCCACCAGCCAGTGCCATTTTGCAGGCTACTTCTGAAAATCTCTGCTTTCACCCCAGAAAATGGGCCCAGGCACCCGCTTGTCTCATACAGGGCCTTCTCGGGACCTGCACCGTCCACCCTTCTGCTAATCCGCACCGAGAAGGGCGTAGCTTTTTTTAGAGCAGTAGTTTTCAAGCCTCGGATTTGTTGAGATCCCATTTTTGACCCAAGCACAGCCTTCCCGAGGGAGATTTTCATAGAATCACAGAATCATGATGGTTGGAAGAGACCTCAAAGATCATCAAGTCCAACCGTATATATTTTACACAGCCCTTCGGATCCCCCTCCCCAGGGAGGTTTTCTTTGGATATGTCCCATCTCTGCCTCTCAGCTCTCCTTGTTTCATATCTTTTTTTCCCAGTTTCATATCTTTTTTTCCCAGTTTCATTATTAATTTGAAATAATCCAGAGCCAAGAAGGCTGCCTAATTAAAACGGCAGGCTTAAGTAGCTAAATGCTTCAAGTGAAAATTTTGTTAGGTGCCACATTTGCTGACTTGCTTGGCTGCGGTCTCTGAAGCGTAGTAGCATAAGAATAGCAAGTAACAAGTCATTTCCAAAATGTCTTAATTTGGGAAAACCACCTTGGAACGCCAACCTGTGAATTACCTCACGGCATTAGCGACGACTTTAAAGAGGCAATAGTGACACGGCCAAGACACGCCGCCCGCATCGAGGGAGCAGGTGTAGGATTTTAACATCGTGCTCTGGTCACGGTTTGTGAGCAGCAATTGCACTCGGCATTTCTGGGCTTATTTTGAGACAGAAAATGGTGTAAAGACCCTTTCACCGTACCCTCCCCACACTGTAAGAGCAGAACAGATCCTTTGGCTGTCATCAACAAGCAAAAAAAAGCCCTAGGAGTTTCAATACAAGCTTACAGCTTGGTACAGCTGCTGCTAATGCAAACAGCTTTGGACCTACAATAAATATACAAATATGCACCTGGCTTAACTTGTCTAAAAAAAATCAAAACAGAGAAGCAAGTTAAGTTACCATCTTATGTTTCAGCTGGGTTGAAGGGTTTTTCTCGTAAGCACAAAAGGCTCCATCTTTTCCCATTGCAATTTTTCTCTAAATTAAGCCCTTACTGTTCTTACAATCTGCTTGCAATAATGGGAACTGGCTTCTTCGTGTCCCTTGTTTGCTCTTGAGGAAATAAAAGCTCTAGAAAAAAAATGTATTTGACCCTAGAGCAAGTAATTTATGGCCACCTTTATGTGTACTGCACATAACTCCCACCCAACTCCGTGCTAAAGCAACAGACAGAGGTTTTAGTCATACACGTAAGGTGCTGTAGACCAAAGAAGCCTCCATTTACCGTACACGGATTTGTTGTTCCTTATCCAGCATTTACAGAGAAGTTACTCTGAACTGTGTCTAAAGCAAGAAGGTAGAGGTTTGAGTTTTTTTCCCCCCACAAGCACAAAACATACCTGAATATGTTAATTTGAGCTTTTTAATGTATATACAAATGTTTTAGACCAGTCACAATTTCATTGAGTATATACTGTATTTACAAAAATTACAATAATTTAGTCAAACAGTAAACCTGAACATTGATAACCTCTGTCACTACCAGATATGACAAGAATATATTTTTTTTAGTTAACTATTTTGATATACATACGTCCTAATACTTTCATGCATCCATAAAAACATTAGGGATGGAAGTAATCAAAGCTTGAGTGGGGTAGGGTTTCTTTTGGTAGATAAAGTTTAATGATGGATTTGTATTTTGTGAACGTATGAGTCTCCAGAGTTATGTGCCGTGACAAACTCGATACAAAGCCAATGTAGTTTTCATCATTAAAAAAAGTACGTTGTAGTAATGAGATCCTTTTTATTATATAGGCATAGGTCACAATATCTACAAATGTGAATGAGAAACAATAAACCAACAAATCACAGGAACATGATTCACATTCCAGTTATCTCTTTAAATAAGACAAGCACATACTGGATCAAAACATTAATAAATAACATCCAGTTTGTTACTATTATCTTAAGGTCTTTTATATAAAAGGAGACCTATGTGTTGGTGTCACATTTTCAATTAATGGTAGTAAATAATGGACCAATACAACAAAAGGATGACTTTTATACAGAAAGCCATGTACTTTGACACACTGTCTTTGCAGTAGAAGTTTTGCCACTTGAAAATGTAAGTGCAACAACAAGTGGATTGTCTTTAAAAACCACCAGCTTTAAAGACTCGCATCAGATGGCAACCTGTTTCTTAAGCAGTAAATACAAATTATTTCCTGCCCATCTTCTGACTATACCTGCTCTTTCAAAGCTCAAATACAGATACAACATGTTGGTAAACAAACTGCTAGCTTTAGTTATTCTACAAAAGGATTTTGCCAGAATTTGGGGTGAAGAGTGGAACTTGCTTTTTAACTAGGAAAGATGCTTCAGCTTTAGCATCAGAGATATTTCCTTGTGATATTATTGCTTTGGTCCAATATAAACTCTTAAGATAATCAATTTGCACTGTATTTACCTCAAAAATCAGACCTGGTCCACAGATGTCTACGAGACAGCTTGTACACTGTGATCTGAAAAGTGAAGTTGCAACAGGTTGCATCCTGCCAAGAGCCTTTGCCAAGTGCTCTGGAGCTGATAAAGGCATAGAGGTGATACAAGTGGGCTGGAAAAAGTCTTCGGAATCCTCAGGAGGGGAAGTGTTAACTATAGACCGGGAAGTTTCTAAAACTTCGCAGCAGAGTTTTAGTTTGTTGATATTTCTTTTGTTGGATGGTTTCAAGCTATTGATGAGAACTTCATGCGAAATGCAGTACATGCTCATTCCTCACATTTACAAAATTCACCCTTCCCCCCCCAATTCCCTATTCCCCCTGAACTGCTGTTTAACAAACCAACAAGGTGCTGTTTAACATCAATTACTTGTTGCTTGTGTTAAAAGACACTTGCTTCATAATGCTGAGGAATTTCTCCTGCACATTTCACTGCTGGACTGTGAGGTGAAGTACAGTATTAATGCATAAAGCAGCAGTCAGCTACCACACTGATCTAACCCCGGATTCAGCTTTGTCTCTATTCAGGCATACTATACTGTGTGAGCAACTAAGCAGCAAATGGTGACTGTTAGAAGTGTGCCTAAACCACATCTGAGCACTTAAATTTGTTGAAGTTTGATCCAAACCTAGGAAGAAAGTACATCGAAGTTTGGGCTTCACCGCCAGTTATTGAACTCAACTGAAGTGTTGCCATACCACAAAAAAAAAAGTGCAGGAAATTCACCAGCTACACTGTGTCAGAGACAGAACAATTCCACCTTTTCCCAAAATGTGTTTTCTCTCTCACCTCTCTTGAATCCAAAGAAAAATACAAAAGTTACAAGAAACTGTAACCCCGTGGCTCTCGTATGGCAAGCCAGGTGGCTAGAGTTCCTCTGAGCTCAGGAGTCTTGATACGAGTATAATGAAACCTTTCTCTTGTTCTTCATGATAAGTATTAGGCTCTTAGTTTTCTGAAACTTCTGAATTTCCAGCCAGAGTTTGGTTGATCTGTGGCATTTGTGACAAGAGACAATATAAGCACTAGCACAGGTCTGTAGTGGAGACTGAGAAAGTACCTAATACAGGGGTTTTTGTCCTTGGTTTTCAAATTCTGACCATGCATCGTTTAGCTCCATAAATATCATCTTTGCATATTGTTCATACGGCTGCCCAGTAGCCTGGAATACAAACAGAAAGAGGGATATCACATCTACCAAATCAGACTACAAAAGGTTGACATTTGAGCAGCTAGGTTCTCAAGCAGTTATCATCCGCTTTCCACGAATCGTTTTCTCTTACTCTTTGACAAGAATAAGCTACTCTTGAGGGCTGCTTACCTCGTTTACAGCTTAAGGATTTTTTTTGGCTTTTCAGCATTTCTGCTCCTCAGAGCTGCTAACCCCCCTGGAATGTGATAAAGCACTGCCATCCCAAGGGCAAAAAAAATTAAGCTAGGCTTTGCAAGAGGCATTTTACCTGCACTGAAGGGAAAGA